CTAAACACAATAGTTTTACAGTTTTTTTTTTATAATTGTTTACACTCAAAAAAAAAAAAATTGACCACATTAGAAATCATGGACTGACACTGATGGATGCTGGACAAAGAGTTCAACCAAATCTCAACAGAAATACTTATTTATTATTTTTTTATAAATACTTGAAATATTCAGTTTGTAGCATCAGTGTTGTGCAGTGCTTGTTAGGTTTATAGTAGGCCTATTTGTGTACATTCTCCCTATATCTTAAACTAATCAGGAGGCATGTTGTGGGTTTGTCACTATTTTGTTTGTCATCAAAATGAAACTTTATATATCAATGTCTGCCAAAAAAATCTAGCAAATGCTATTTCCTAAAATCAGTTTTTTTTTACAAATGTGTTTTTTATTTATCACAGCAGTGTGAAACTGTTTGCAATAGTGTCTGATCATTGAGAATTGTGTTGGTAAAATGAAAACTAGTAGCATTTTCACACATATGTGTGTATGTTTTGACTGTAGTGTGTCATTTTGCATTTGTGGTGTTTGAATAATTGTAATTATATTTTGAAAAAAAGAACCCGGTTTTTAAAATTGTGTGTAAACAACCGAAAAAAACAGTAATAACTTATTTCTAACAACTGATTTATTTTATCTTTGCCATGATGACTAAATAATAATTTACTAGATATTCTTCAAGACACTTCTATACAGCTTAAAGTGACATTTAAAGGCTTAACTAGGTTAATTAGGTTAAATAGGCAAGTTAGGGTAATTAGGCAAGTTATCGTATAACGATGGTTTGTTCTGTACACTATCTGAAAAAATATAGCTTAATGAGGCTAATAATTTTGACCTTAAAATGGGGTAAAAAGATTTATAAAATTCCTTTTATTCTAGTCAAAATAAAACAAATAAGACTTTCTCCAGAAGAAAAAATATTATCAGACATACTGTGAAAATGTCCTTGCTCTGATAAACATCATTTGGGAAATATTTAAAAATGAAGAAAAAAAATCAATCTAATAAGTCTGACTTCAATTGTAAATGACAGTAAAATGTAAGTAAAATTCAAGCGAAAATAATAACAATAAAAAAATCAGCATTTATGAATAAATTCTAAAGGATCATGTGAATAATAATGTTAAAAATGTACCTTTAAATGACAGAAATACAGCAAAATAACTTTTAAGGTACAATGTTGATCTTATTCTTCAATGCTAAAGTGCGTTCGATTTTGCGATTGGTTTAGAACTTCCGATTCAGTTTCATATAGGAGAGATGACTAGGGATAACAAACATAAGAAAACGATCAAACTATTTGGTCTACAAACAAGTTTTTCCATGATTATGCAAAGAAGAATAGCATCATAAGAAAATATCGGTTTGCTACATCAAGCAGCAGAACAAGACGTATACAAATGAATGGAAGAGAATGGAACCAGAGGTCTCGAGCCAAAAAGATTCAGATGGCTGTGCCCGCTCGTACAAGTAGAATAAGGTGAATAGTGTTAAATTACCCATTATTTAATTCGTATTTTTAATATAAAGTGAAAAAATATACAAATGTATAAACTGTTTATGTGTCGTCTCAACTTAAAGTCTCTTAAGTAGATAAAATAATTAAATTCAATCAATTCAATAGCTAAAATATAATATAGCTTATTAAATTCCTATAAAACTGCTAAAAAAAATAATAGGAACACTTGAACAACACAATGTAACACCAAGTGTTCTCTTTATTGTTTTGAGCTATATATATATATATATATATATATATATATATATATATATATATATACAGAGAAGAAGTTTGTACTTACCTCAGTCTTACTGTGGTTAAACAGGATGTTTCACTGGTTTTAAGTACCTGTGTTTAAATGTTTTTTTGTTGTTGTTGTTGTTTTTTTACACACCTGTCACCAGATTTACAGATGACAACATAAATGCCTGTCTGTAGAAAGGAATGTCTGTCTAGAAAAAAATGCATTTTTTTTTTTTTTTTTTGATTAAACTTCTTTAAATTTCTGTGTGGAGTTTGTATGTTTTTCCTGTGGTGGTGTGAGTTTCCCCCGGGTGCTTCTGTTTCCACCACAGTCCAAACACATGCGCTATAGGGGAATTGATTAACTAAATTGACTGTAGTGTATGTTATATGGATGTTTCCCAGTAGTGGGTTGCAGCTGGAAGGGCATCCGCTGTGATTAAGATATGCTGGATAAGTTGGCGGTTTATTCCACTGTGGCGACCCTTGATGAATAAAGGGACTAAGCTAAAGGAAAATGAACTTCATTGACTTGAAATTTGTCAAAAAAAAGCAGAAAAGTTTTTTTTCTGTTGAATAAAAAGGATATTTTTAGCTTTTTTCAGTGACAGAAGAAGGAAACTCATAAATGTTCGGAAACACTTCGGGGAAAGTAAACAGTAAGTAAATTTTTTTTTGGTTCTTGTTTATATGTTTGTGTCATGCAAACTGTTCTTGGTTAAGATATTTTGTATGGAAAATCATCAGCTAAAAAGAGACCGTGAATTATGAAGCCGGAGTTATGTATGACTGCATTTCATTTCTTTTAAGTGAATGCTATAGGGTGGTATAACGCCGTTTCTTTTGGTGCTTACCAGCTGACCGCTTACATACATGTGGAGAGCTTTCCCGCCTTAACCAGTTTGTCCGGTTAGCTCGTTGTGTACATTGGCGGACTTGAGGCGCAGAGAGGAGTTGACCACATGACGACGACGACCAGGCTCTACTCAATCGGTAAAATTGGTTGGGTTTAGGGAAGGAGGAGGGTGGGTCGGTCGATTGGCTGGTTGCCCAGTCAATCATTCAGTCATTCAGGCGTACGACAGCGGCCTCTGGTGGGATTTCAAAAACAAAAATTGCAAAACTTCGTACCTCCCGGGATGTATTTCGTGGTCTCCAGAAACATCCACGGGACTACATTTTCAGAATGAGCCTGAGTGACTGTGCAGGTGACTGGAGATGCGAAGTGAACAATGCCATTCACAGTGGTGTAAAGTAATTAATTAACAAATACTCAAATGACTGTAATTGAGGAATTTTTCTCAGGAATTGTAATTACTAAGTACTTTTAAAATTGTGTACTTTTACTTTCCCTTGTGTACATCTTTGTGTCAGCCTTTTTAATTGAATAAATTTGTATTTTTGGAGCTTTGGTGTTGCCGCCTTTGATGAATATTTAATTTATTGCATCATGACCGAAATGGCCTTATTGATTGATGTTGCACCCCAACTTATTAACCATCAAGCATTGCTTTTAAACAAAGGTTACTTGAGATAGATAGATAGATAGTGAGAGAGAGAGAGAGAGAGAGGGAGAGAGAGAGAGAGAGAGAGAGAGAGAGAGAGAGAGAGAGAGAAAGAGAGAGAGAGAGAGAAAAGACTAAAGAAATAGAAAAGATTACCCAGGAGGATTATAAAGTCAACTGGCAAAATAAAATACAACAAATAAAAAAGTTAGAGTGCTTCAACCAGATTAAACCTGGTTATGAACTGGCCCCGTATCTGACCAACATTAAGAGCCCTGGTCAGAGAAAGCTGTTGAGCCGGTACCGTCTGAGTGGACACAGTCTGAGTGTGGAGACGGGCCGACACAAGCGCAGCTGGAGGAGCCCAGAATACAGACTGTCCACACTGCCCTGCTGGAGTTGTGGAGGATGAGCTGCATTTCTTCACTCACTGCAGCAAATATCAGAGCATCAGAGAAGCTTACTTCACACAAATGTCTCTGACTCTACCACAATTCCAGCAAGCCACAAATACGGAGAAACTCCATTATATTTTGGGAGAAAATGAAAAGTGTCTCCACCTAGCAGCACAGTACGTGTCCTCATGCCACCATATGAGAGAAAAAGGCTGAACCCCCTTATCCCTTATTAAAGCTCTCTGTCCTTACCATTTATTATTACTTTTGTTAATCTTTTTTTTTTATTAACTTGTTTATTGTGACAACATATATGTATAATATAATGATATGTATATGTGTTTGTTTATTTTTACTTATATTTCTTTTATATATATGAATGTTCTGTGTTTTGTTATTCCTTTGGCAACATTGTGATTTGTTTTACAGTCATGCCAATAAAGCTCTTTGAATTTGAATTTGAAAGAGAGAGAGAGAGAGAGAGAGAGAAAGAGAGAGAGAGAGAGAGAGAGAGAGAGAGAGAAAATATTTTCAATAAAGAGGACTTGACTTTGTTTTAATGAGACAGATTTATTTTCAGCAAAGATGATTTTAAAGATTAGTTTCTGCTTCTGTAGCTTAGATTCAATAATGCATTTTATGAAAACAGAAAAAAATCAAATCAGTGACATTTACTAAAGGATCACATTTATGGTTGTTTGTGTAATATATAATATGATATAATATAAATATAAAAAATAGCAATAGCATCATCGTTGGAACAGAATTTGGGATACTTGATGAAAGAAAAAAAATATATATATATACATACAGTATAGGGAGGCACAGTGGCTCAGTGGTTAGCACTGTCGACTCACAGCAAGAAGGTTTCTGTGTGGAGTTTGCTAATTCTCTCTTAAATTAGACATAGTGTATGAGTTTGAATGTGAGAGTTTATAGGTGTTTCCCAGTACTAGGTTGCAGCTGGAAGGGCATCTGCTGTGTAAAACATATAGTGGAATAGTTGGCGGCTTATTCTGCTGTAGCAACCCCTAATGAATAAAGGGACAAAGCTGAAAGAAAATGAATGAATATATATATAGGGGGGAGATGTTCCGGGGGTGAGGTTGAGAACAGGATGCAGCGGGTTTTGGGCGGCCGCTTCGATCAGGTACTGTACCAAAGTTGGCAACCCGGGGGTGTTTAGTTTACTTTACAGACTGTACCAAAGAGAGGGGTAGGTGAAATTACGGGAGTTTTTCTAGAAGGAAATAAAAACAGGATGTTTTGCGGGAGACTGGTCTGAAATACGGGATTTATATATATATATATATATATATATAAATAATAACATATATAAATTTATTTTTAAATGGTCTCCTTTTTAAAGGAGCCTATTTACGGATATATCCTCAGCAGTTTTCTTAATTTCAGCACTGTGTTGTTTGGCAAACCATATTTGACCAGCTCCTGATTGACCTGAAACAATGGACACAAACACACAGATCATACATTAAACAAATAATCAATAAATAATATATTAATGTATGAATATTTGTAGTAGATATGACTTACTCGCTGTAAAACAAATTGAACGTTTCCACTCTGTGTGAGGTCCAAAACTGAGGAAAAACTCACTTGAATTCCAGCAACAGTGTCTGAAGGGAAACACACAGAATACTCATTTTTATTATTTGACAAAACAAAACCATGGGCTTATGTATTGTCAAAACATATATGAAAGATTAAACTGTTACTTTTCAAGATGATGTTTCTTGGTCCACTGTCCACCCTGAAGGCCCATCGGCCTGTGACATTAACATTACTGGAGGTCTTGAGATTTGAGATGGAGCTTCCGCTGTCTGATCCAGGAATCACAAAGTAGTTTGTAGAGTTGATTGTGTCATAACCAGCCTAAAATAATAATAATGATATTAAATGTACTGAACATGTTCTAACATTATTCATATAAGTATGTATTAAAAAGTAGCAAACAGAAACTTGTTTCTTTTACCTTCACTGGATGTCCTGTTTCAGCAATGTCCCCATAATTCATCAGGATAAATGAATAATTACCGCCTGAAATCAAAACCACTTGAAATGATGATTCCTGAAAAATACAAATCAACTTAAAGTGATTGTTCAAATTCAAACTGTCGTCATTTGCTCAACCTGTCACTTCTTTTAAACATTTATGAGTTTCTTTCTTCTTTTGCACACAAAGAAAGCTGAAAATCTGTATCATTAGCTATGTTTCCTTCCACCTATTTTATTTCATATGTGCATAAAAAAAAAAGTTGATGGAAACGCCATGATGTGCATAAATTTTGAAAATGCGCATAAAAAACTTAGGCGCCTAACTGGGTAGGATAAACTTTTTCTTCGATAAGAAAAGATGTGCATAAACTGCGATGGAAACACTTTTACGGCACAAACTCCACCATGTGCATTAAAAAAGGTCATGTGATGTTGTTAAAAGAGATCATGTGATGCTTAAAATGTGTGTGAATGGATAAAACGTCAGGCTGAGCGCAATATAAAACATCTGAAATGTTGTTTTGGTCATTATAAAACGCCTTACCATTTCAGTATTATTGTTATTATATTATTAATGACCTCCAGAATCAAGAGCGCCTGTGACACCTTCAAACGCCACTGCGCGCTCACTGCTTGTCAGGATTGTCTTCTGAGGCGCATTCATTTAGAAAAGATTTATGCAGCTTCTCCTACTGCAGCAAATGCAGTTTTTATTGTTGATATTTGGCACCAGTTAATCAGGAAGTGACAATTTTGTTCGCTTTGACTCGTTGGATGGAAACAATGTTTCATTCGCACAATTTTTATGCAATAATCCAGTTTTGCACATAAAGTTTATTCGCATTTTTGGATGGAAACATAGCTAGTGACATCCAGAGTATTTGTTTCCCCCCTATATCAGTGCTCAATCCTGGCCCTCACACCCCACTGATCTGCATATTTTGCATGTTTCTTTTATTTAACTCGGCTGATTTAGATAACCAGCTAGTTAAATGGCTGTTTTCTGACTGAAATGTCCCTATGCAGTGTCCATTGTTCCCTAATGCGTTCTCTCTAAATGAACACAAGAATCCTTTATTTCACTTCAGAGCACTCATTCAAAGATTTGCACAAAGGCATTCAGCATCTTACAACATTGTAAAAATATATTATACAACAGTTCTGTCTGGTTCTTGAATCTGATTGGCTGATAGCCGTGCAATATTCTGTAATATTAGCACTCCTACAGCCTCTTCACGCTTGTGTGTTTATCTGCCCACATGAATGCCAAGCAGAGGACTAAATGCACTACAGTTGGACAATTGCTGCCGTTGGACAACATAACGTACTTGTGAGGTGAGAATGTAGTCGTTTAGCTTGCAAACATGCAGTTTATTTCAACCCAAGCTCATTTTGAAAACGTAGTCCCGCAGAAGTTTCTGGAGACCGCGGAATACGTCCCGGGGGGTACGTACGGCCGCGTTTATTATTTTTTTCAAGCGAACGCTGCGGAGCAGTGAGACGCTGTTCCCTTTCGCGCTTGCCTTACCTCCTTGTGGAGGGCTTCCCCGCTGCAACCCGTTTGTCCACTCAGCTCAGCGTGTACGTCGGCAGGCTTGAGATGCAGAGAGGGGTCGACCACGGCGACCGGTTTCGAGTCCGGGATAGAGCGGTTCCAGCAATCAGGTAAGACAAAAACAGAATCCCAAAAATTAAGTGAACGAGTTTCGTGACAGGGTGAGAACGTGGCGAAATCCGAAAACGCGGTGGAATAAAAAAAAATCAGGGCTTTTATTTTTTTGGATGGCTTTTGTTAACTGTTGCTTGGGTTAAGGGAAGCGAGCGGGTGGGCGGGTCGATTGGTAAAATTGGTTGGGTTCAGGGAAGGAGGAGGGCGAGTCGGCCGATTGGCCGGTCGCGCAGTCAATCATCCAGTCAGTCGGACAGCGGCCTCCGGCGGGTTCACGCGAGAACAGCGCGGGTGCGAACCACACTCGCGAAAGCCGTCTGACGTGCAAAAAAGCGCGCAACAGCGGCCTCTCGCGGATTAGCGAAAACAAAAACTGCAGCCGTACGTACCCGCCGGGACGTATTCCACGGTCTCCAGAAACGCCCGCGGGACTACGTTTCCACAATGAGCCTGGGTTGGTTTATTTATAAGGATAGTGCCCATTAGAATATACGTTTGCATTATTTCAGAGATTTGGAATTTCAGATTTATGGGAATTTTAGGTAAAGAGCAAAGAAATTGACGGTTGACGTTCTACTGTCTAAAGTCATTTTTAGGGGGAGAAAAAAAAGTGTTTTTTATTTTTTTATTTAAAACAACAGTAAAACGAATGATTAATGTCACACCTGTCGCAGTGCCCTATGTTGGACACTTGAGGGCACTAGTTTGTTTTGTGGTTTTGTTTTGTTCCCTGACATTCTTGTGCGTCTGATTGTGTTGTAACAGCTGCGTCTTATTTGTTAATTTAGCACTGTCTTTATAAACCCTCTTGTCGTCTGTTTTAGTTGCCTTAGGATTTTGTTAGCTTCTAACGTCTGGTATGTTTGTCTGGTCATCTAGTTTTTGTATTTTGATAATTCTTGGATTCCTGTTTTGTGATTGTTTTCGTTAGCACTCTTTAGCACTCCTACCCTGTTTTTTGTATTTACTTGTTTTTGGATGTTTTCCTGTTCTCTTGTTTGGACTAGATTTGCATCCTGCTTGTAGTTCTGTGTAAGTTTTGGAAACCTTTGTCTTTTGGAAAACTTTGTCTTTTTGGAAACCTAGTGCCCTCAAGTGTCCAACATAAGGCACTGCGACAGGTGTGACAATTAGAGAAGAGGTAAGTGACATTCTAAGTTGATCTCTCTCTCTTTTTGTATTTTGTATTGTTGCATTTATACCATTATCTAGTAGTGTTTGGTTTGCTTTGACTTTTTTTGGGGGGTTAATTTTGTGAAACCCTGGTTGCAACATAGAAATACTGATAGATCTCGGTAGCCTGATGGCATTTCATGTCACTTCAGCCTTATAATGTTAAAATGTGAGCAGAATCACCTCTTTGGTCATCACTTAGACATTACAATATCTACACTATGCAAAAGAATCATTCAAATACTAATGGCCCGTGTCCACTGAGAGGTACGGTACGGTTTGGTACGCTTTTGTGGCTGTTTCCACTGTCAAAAGGCATACTGAACCATACCGTACCACTTTTTTGGCACCCTTTCGAAATAGTACCAAATGCGAAAAAGGGTCCCAAAAGGCGGAGCTAGACTCTCAGCTGAACGCTATTGGTTTAGAGAAAAACGTCATTCGCTTACGCAACAAGCCAGAATGGAAACAAAAGAGCCGCCATGTTTAAAATACACTGCCGACTGAGCCGAGATTACAGTGTAAATAAATATAATAATGAGCCATGGTCGACCCGGGCTCAAACAAACCTTGTCGTGGTCTTGATGAACAGTCAAAAAGCCAAAAAGAAAAAGAGCAGATTTGCCCTGTACCCCTTTTATGGGCTTTTTTCATTCATTTATCAGTTACAGTTCAGATGTATGAAACTTACTGTGCTGATCAAGCTGTAGTAAGACACTTTATTCCATGTTGCAACAAAGACCCAAGAAGCAGTGAAGTTCAGATTTGGGAAATAATTGTTGATATCCTGAGTGGCGCGAGTGAGAACACTTCCACTGGTGTACTGATTATAAGACACGACTCCTAATATGCTGTTATCAAGGTCAGTCCAGAGTCCAGCAATTATATCTTGACTTCCATTAGCTGGAAATGAGTCGGGAGCATACTGTGATGAAGCCTGGCTGAATGTGAGGAAGCCATTATTATTAACCTGAAACATGGGAAATACTGTCATACATCCCAACCAGAGATTTTAATCTTCACAGATGAGTTTTTAAAGCATCCAAAAATCACATTTACAATTAAAAACACAACATAATCAAATTCTTACGTAAATCTGCTGGTATGTGCGGCTAAAGAACTGAAATGGACTCAGCAGTGGAATAACAGGGGAGCTTCCATCATCGGAAAGAGGATTTGTTGAGTATCCTGCTCCTGAAATTAATGTGTAGAAGATTCCTGTTCCTGCTAAGAGATTACACAGAAAACTTTTACTCTTTACATGTATGTTTACGTTTCACAGATTTAGGAAACTAATGTTTGATTTGATTAGTAGCGGGACAATGGTGACCTCTGTTGGTGAAATATGTGACAGTAAAATATTTATTCACCACATAACTAATCTTTATATGGTTTAAAAAATATTCATGAAGAAACAAAGTAGAATACGCAACTGTCGTTGAGAAACATTAAATCTATAACAAAAATACAACACCCTTCACTGATTTCCATTTCCATGTAGCTTTGCATGCATTTGTGCAAAGGCTTATATAAGGTTAAAAGCAAAATAAGGTGCTATTTTAAATTTTAATTTTAAAAAGCATTTTAATATATTTCTCATTGGAGGTGACATCAAATCACAACACTGAAGGCCTGAAATCAGAACACTGTCATAGATATGGGCTCAGAGAATAGACACATAAAATGCTCTCAATGAATTACAGGTGTTAAAATACATGCATAAACAAATTAGGCATACGCATTACATTGGCTTAGGGGTCAGAACCCTTTTTTCAGCAAAGAGCCATTTCAGATTTTTTTTTTTTAATCAAATGCATTTTTTAAGAGCCAAGTGGGGTGTAATTTTGTCCTTGCACAACTCAAAAATAAACCGAAGCATCACAATGCGTGAAGAAAGGACAATTTACTGATTTATTTCTTTTTGCCAACGCCACTTATGAATGATTGAATTTACGTGCGTGAAGTTGCCATAGAAATGTAAGTTCCCATAGACTGTATTGTGAGAAACATACCTTGCCCTTTATTATTGTCGCGATACAAGTTAAACCACAGCACCACATATGCACATTGGTTGAAACGTCCGGTAACACTTTTTAATAACTACACACTATGAATCATTTATTAAGCATTAGCATCTAGTGAATTCATTATTTGTTAAGCATTAACTCTAATAAGTGTTAGTAAGCAGTTTATAACTGCAGCTGCAAATGCTGTATTCTTGACTTATAAGCAGCTATAATGTGGTTAATAATTGTATTTCTATACTCAGTTAATGATTTATTTTTCATTACTAAATTAAGTATTGCATTATTTACAAACCAGTTGCATTTAAGAGTAGTTGAGGGTTTTTAGGATCATTCAGAATGAGTAAGTAAATGATTAATAAACTATTGAAAGCAACATTTAAAATTCTTATTATTCAGGCATATATTTATAGTTAACTAATATGTTAATAAATGATTTATTAACTCAACTTCATGCAGTTTTGTGACCTAATCTAAAGTGAGGACTATTTATGATTTATAAATCCTCATAAATGACTATTAAAGGCTCAGAATTAATGAACAATAAATCTTTGCAATCTTTTCTAAAAAAAATAAAATTACTGTAAAGTTTAAACATTGCCAAATAACAGAAGTGTCAAAATACGTCATAAAACTGGATTAAACACCAACTATATAATAATTTAACAATATAATAAGATGTAATGTTTAAACTCTACAGTGATTTTATTTTAGAGAAGATTGCAAAGATTTATTTTTCATTTGCAGTACAGTTTCATTTGTGTATCTTTAAATGAATTGGAATGAATAATGTCATTTTTTCCTGTTTAGAATATAACTGAGCCTTTATTTGTCATTTATAAGGGATTCATAAAGCATAAATAGTCCTCACTTTAGATTAGGTCACAAAACCTGATAAAGTTGAGTTAATAAAGCATTTATTAACATACAAATTAACTATTAATATGTGCCTGAATAATAAAACATACAAACATTTATTTCAATAGTTTATTAATCATTTACTAACCCAATCTGAATTATCCTAAAAACCCTTAACCACTCGTAAATAAAAATGGTTTGTAAATAATGCAATACTTAATTTAGTAATGAAAAATAAAACATTAACAAAGTATGAAAGCGCAATTATTAAGCACATTTTAAATATGTTTGTAAGTCAAGAATAGAGCCTTTGTAGCTGCAGTTATAAACTGCTTAACGCTTATTAATGTAGAGTTAATGCTTAACAAATAATGAATATACTATTTGCTAATGTTTAATAAATTATTTATATTGTGTAGCTATTATTAAGTGTTACCCTGCTTGGTAGAGATTTTATATATATATATATATATATATATATATATATATATATATATATATATATATATATATATATATATATATATATATATATATATATATATATATATATATTATTTTTTTATTTGTTTTTTTTAAATAATTCATTTTATTTTATTATTCAACTTTAAGTTTATTCTGTATTGACAGAAATATATAACAAGACCTCCTTTCCCACTTTAAAATAAGACCTCCATTTTCATATATATATATATATATATATATATATTAATTAATTAATTAATTAATTGTACAAGTTTAAACACACAATCTATACAGATGTGTCCTTTAAATCCAAGACAAAATATACTTTTTTTTTTTTTTTTACTTTTGATTATTAACTTTTGTGTTTAAGGCGTATTTGATGACTGTTTTGATTTTTTGGATTGTTTTGAGTGAACACACTCCCTACAGACACTGACCATTTGAGCATTACGTCTAAAGTCTAAGTAAATGGATTTTGCTGCTGTATTGCTTTGTATTGTAACACAACATTAGATTAATATTCCCAAGCCTCACCAAATTCAAATCCATTGAAAAACTGACTCTTGTCCATTTCGGCAATAGAGTTAACTTCCATTTTTGATGGTTTTGAAAAGAGCAAATAAACACACATGACAATCTATGTTTTTTAAAAGCACTTTTTTTTAGAGGATTATAGAGAACTGCCTCTGATTTACTAAAAAGCTGTCTCAAACATAGAAGTATGGTGCATTTTGGCATTGCACAAACACGTATGATCAAATACAAAATCTGCTTACCTGCACAGTAGCCCAAACTGCAGGTCAACGGCTTAACTAACTCATAGACATAATAACCTCCCGGACAGGCTTTGACTTTAATAGGATTGGACTTGTAAAAGCAGCAGTCGAAGCTAAAGGAACCACAAACACTTCGAGTGACCACTCCATCCTGAACTGTTGGATGTCCTCCGCTCAGCCACATTGGGTTACTTGCGCCACAACTCCATATATCAACACATGTGTCTGGCATCTGAACACTCTGACCATTAATGAAGAGACGATACCAGCCGAACCAGCTGATAGAAGAGTCACATGAATTTTCAGAGAGAAATGGATTGCCCGTGGATCTCAGCGGATCGTCCAGTACAGTAAATTTATAGCAGGGGTCAAAGGGGAGGTCTGTGATAACAAAACAAATATGATTGAAATTAGTATTGATCATGTAAAGTTTTGACATTGAATCTGTGGTAACTACAAGATGAGTTAATACTATCAAAAATAGGATATTTAATCTCTCTATAAATACACATGCATAAATGTATTTACTTTTACATATTTATTTATGAATTGTAGTGCTTAATTAGCATAAATGAGTACATCTCATTTTGAAAATGAATATTTTTAACCAATTCTCAGTGAATATAGATAATAATTTTGGTGAATATCAACAAAACAAGTACAAAGTACAGTACCAGATTTGCCTTTAAACAGTACTTCAGCTATACCACCATAGATTAATGAATATATATATATATATATATATATATATATATATATATATATATATATATATATATATATATATATATATATATATATATATATATATGAGCAATATTACACGAGTAGCAGTGCGATATGGTTGTATATCTGCACTGGTGGGAGGCGTGCGTTGGCACAAGGCCGCAACAGTTATACAACAGTTTGACTGCATAATTGTATATATAAAAAGTAAATCAAACATGGTCAGTCTCAAAAACCCTTTTGTATGAGGAACTACTTTCTTCTGCATTGGATTCAAATCATAAGCTGACAGTTAAACAGCTGTTAAAGAGCCCATATTATGGGTTTTTGAAAATCCCCCTCCATGTAGTGTGTAACACAGCTCTAAGTGAAGTGAAGTATCCAGCTAAGGCTTAAATCTATAAGAGTACAGTGTTCATCTATAAAAGAGTCAACTCATAGTGCTTCAAACCAGTCGCCTTGATACCGAGTCATTAGGTGTTTCGCCATGACGTACGAACGAAACCGGAGGTGTGTGTAAGTGTGTGTTTGTGTCTGTGAAAAGAGCAGAGTGAAACAAGCTAGGAGATCTCCTCAACTGTTTTTGAAGTTTTTGCTCAATAAAATAGTTAGTCGTCTGAATTTTCAAGTCCATAGTCTGTATTTACATTGACCCACTGGCAGCTAAAATCCACGCCTACACTATCGAGCGTGTATGAACTGTGATTACTTTTATATTGCTGATTAGCTGTTTGGCTTTTCACTCTGACTGAAGGCAGTCGACCAATCGCAACAGGCTGTCATCGGTCCAATCAGCGCAGATTAGCTTCGCGCTAAGGAGGGGTTTGGGAACAAATGAATCACTGGACGATTCATACAGGAGTCGCTGGGATAATTAGGTAAAAATAAATGCAGATTATAAGACCATAAAAGTGTTTTTTGACCTTGCATGCATATTAGACTGTTGTTGGAGACCCTTACAACCAAGATATGACCCTATTTCATGTATAATATGGGCTCTTTAAAACAGTTAAAAAGCATCTTTTAAACTTTAGATCTGTAGTGTCTGCTTTTTGCTGGCTGTATGTGGGCGGAGTAATACACAAAGGGTAAAGAGGCTGTAGGAGTTCTGATATTGCAGAATATCGCATGGCCATCAGCCAATCAAATTCGAGAACAAGACAGAACTGCTGTATAAAAAAAAAAAAAAAAAAAATATATATATATATATATATATATATATATATATATATATATATATATATATATATATATATATATACAGAAATTACACACACAGTTGAAGTCAGAATTATTAGCCCCCTTTAAATTTTTTTATTTTTTAAATATTTCCCAAATGATGTTTAACAGAGCAAGGAAATTTTCACAGTATATTCATTCATTCATTCATTTTCTTTTCAGATTAGTCCCTTTATTAATCTGTGGTCGCCCTTTCAGCCACAACCCATCACTGGAAAAATTTTCACAGTATATCTGAAAGAAGTTTTTTTCTTTTAGAAAGTCTTATTGTTTTATTTCAGATAGAATAAAATCAATTTTAAAATCAAAATTTTTTTAAACACCATTTTAAGATCAAAATTATTAGCCCATTTAAGCTATATTTTTCGATAGTCTACAGAACAAACCATCATTATACAATAACTTGCCTAATTACCCTAACCTGCCTAGTTACCTTAATTAACATAGTTAAGCCTTTAAATGTCACTTTAAACTGTATAGAAGTGTCTTGAAAAATATCCAGTCAAATATTATTTACTGTAATCATATTAGAAATAAGTTATTAAATGTGTATGTTATTAAATGTGTAAATGTTATTTAAATATGTTGAAAAAAATCTTCTCTTCATTAAACAGATAAACAGGGTGGCTAATAATTGATATATATAAATCATTTAATTATAATTATATATATAGTTTAAATAGTTTAACACATTTCAGAATAGAGATCAAACATGGAGTAATGTGTGAGCTGTAATATTACGTGTGCTTGTTTCCAGTTCACTGTCCACCCTGAAGGCCCATCGGCCTGGAACATTGACATTACTGGAGGTGTTGAGATTTGAGATGGAGCTTCCACTGTCTGATCCAGGAATCACAAAGTAGTTTGTTGAGTTCATCGTCTCAAAACCAGCCTATAAGAACACAAAACAATGTTCATATAAACAGATATGTTTATACAGTAGACAACAGAAATATTTTGTTATCATAACAGAAAGTTCATTTTACCTCCACTGGAAATACTGTTGCAGCAATGTCACCATAATTCATCAGAGTGAATGAATAATTACTGCCTGAAATTAAAATCACTTGAAACAATGTTTCCTGAAGAAAAATTAACATAAGAAGTTTTTTTTATTTATTATTTAATCATGGATAAAGTGAGTGAAACTTTAGAGGTCTATCAAACTTACTGTATTGGTTAAAGCATAGTAGGCTACTTTATCCCACGTTGCAACAAAGACCCAGGAAGCAGTGAAGGTCAGATTTGGGAAATAATTGTTGATATCCTGAGTGGCGTGAGTGAGAACACTTCCATTAGTGTATTGATTATAAGAGACGACTCCTCTCTCACGGTTATCAAGGTCAGTCCAGAGTCCAGCAATTATATCTTTACTTTTATAAGCTGGAAATAAGTAGGGAACATACTCAGAAGAAGCCTGACTGAATGTGAGGTGCCCATTATTATTAACCTGAAACAAAATAAATACTATCACAGCACACTGTTACTGAACACATATAGTTAATAAAGCACTCATGACACACATTTGACTTAGAATAAGGAGAATATCAGCTTCTTACATAAATCTGCTGGTATGTGCGGCCAAAGAACAGAAATGGACTCAACAGTGTAATAAGAGAGGAGCTTCCATCCTCAACAGCAGGATTTATCGAGTCTCCTGCTGCTGAGCCAAATGGGTAGAATATGTCCGGTGCTGCCATGTGATAAAAAAAAACAACAACAACAATAACAAAAACATATTAACATTACTGTTTAACGAAATGTCATTTTAAGGGTTTCTTGTACTTTACTTCCTCTGTTGAACACAAGAAAAGATGCTGGAAACCCGTATTTATTGACTTTCTTAGTTTTTCCCACATTGGATAGCAATAGTTACAGGTTTCCAGCTTTTTCATAATATTTTCTTTCATGTTCAGCAGAAGAAAGAATCTCAGAATGGTTTGGAACCAAATATGGACAGTAAATGGTGACAATTTTTTCATCTATTAGCTGAATTTTCCTTTTAAGCCAATGTTACAAACGTAACTCTTTGAATTTGGCCTTAACCTAACTAATCTGATTGTGTTGTTAAAGAGTGTTTTATTTATAATAGACATATTATATATGTAACCCGGGGAGTGATACTGACAACAAAAGTTTGGATGCAAATGCAGGTTTAATCAGTGGTCAGGCAAGCAATGGTCAATATAGGTGCAAACAGATAATTGAAGACAATCCAGAATCGTAGTCGAAGTAACAGGCGAGAGGTCAGAAGGCAGGCGGCAGACTAAGATGAAAAGGCTAAATAGGCTAGGGTCAAAACACAAGAAAACAAGACTAGGAAGACGCGTTGTAGTGTTACTATATAGATAAACAGACTTGGTAATGGGAGAGAGTGAGTGTGTTGCTTAAATCAATCAGTCTCTGACAATCCTCAGGTGGTGCAAGTGTAATCAGTCTAGATGAGGAAGCATGTGTGAGTGTGAGCGGAGTGCATGTATGAAAATGTAGTCCAAAAATGGCGGATTTGTAGTCCAAGGTTATAGTGAATGAAGTCCAGCGATTTGGAGTACGGTCGCTGGTTATCGTGACAATATACCAACCCAAGCTCAATCTGGAAACGTAGCCCCGCGGACGTTTCTGGAGACCGCGAATTACGTGGCCGGAGGTACGTAAAGGCCGCGTTTGTTTTTTTTTTAGCGAACGCCGCGGGGCAGTGAGGCGCCGCTCCGCCCCTCCTCTTCGCGCTCGCCGGCCGACGGCTCGCCTCCATGTGGAGGGCTTTTCCGACGCAGTCAGTTTGTCCGCCTAGCTCACAGCATTGCGTCGGCTGAGCGGAGGCCCCGGACGAGGAGGAGGAGCCGGAGCCGGCCGCGGTGGACGACGACCGGGATCGAGTCCGGGGAACAGCAGGTTCCGGAAATCAGGTAAGACGAAAAACGGAATCCGAAAAATAAGGGCGAGAACGTGGCGGGATCCGAAAACGCGGTCGAAATCGAAGACGAGGGCTTTTGCTTTTTTTTTTTTTCTGATCCGGCGGCTTTTCGCGCGAGAACGGCGAGGATCCGAGCAAAAAAAACGCTCGAATACGTACCTCCCGGGACGTAAATCGCGGTCCGCAGAAACGTCCGCGGGGCTACGTTTCCACAATAAGCCCTGGTTGCAATGTACAGTTGACATCAAAATTAATTATACACCAACATTAATTTAAATTCATTTAAAATACTTCACGAGTGTTTGCTTTATGATGCATCATAACCATAATTTACTCATCCAAATACTACATTACCGGCTGAGCTTGTCACTGGAGCAGCACTAATGTTCCGAACATCTGCAAAATAATGTATAATCGTAATTAAATTCATTTAATGCATGTACTTTCACCACACAGTGACAGATGGTGAAGCTTACAGAAGCACATAAATTGGTAAATCCAAAATCTGCTTACCTGCACAGTATGCTGTATTGCAAATAGATGGCTTTACAAACTCATAGACATAATAACCTCCTGGACAGGCTTTAACTTTAATGGGATCTGACTGGAAACCACAGCAGTTAATGCCATTGGTGGCACAGATACTTCGATTGACCACTCCATCCTGAATTGTTGGATGTCCTCCACTCAGCCACAGTGGGATTTGAATGCCGCAACTTTGATAAGCAACACATGTGTCTGGCATCTGAACACTCCGACCATTAATGAAGAGACGATACCAGCCAAGCCAGTGGACAATAGTGTCACACAATGCTTTATTGGGACTAGAAATTGCACGTGTATTATTGGTGGATCTCCATGAATCATCCAGCACAGTGTAATTATTGCAGGGGTCAAAAGGGCGGTCTGTAAAAAACAACAACAACAAAAAAAAACAAAAATTTATATCATACACTGATGGGCCAGAATCTACAGCCCCTATGAGGGAATTAAATATAATAAAAATAATTTACACAAAACTGTAGATCAGGGATGCTCAATCCTGTTCCTGGAGATCTACCTTCCTTTACAGTTTAGCTCCTACCCTGATCAAACCCACCTGAACCAATTAATTAGGACCTGAAATTCACTTGATAATTGCAGACAGGTGTGTTTGATAAGGGTTGCAACTGAAATCTGCAGGAAGGTAGATCTTCAGGAACAGGATTGGCCACCCCTGCTGTAGATCATCTCTTCATTCAAAAAAGTAATAATAATCAAAATAAATAAATAAATCAAAAGCAGTAAGGTAACTGTAGCACTACAGGTAATCAGCTATAAACAATGTAGATCCTTGAAGAAAATAATTTGCTTTTAAATATAATTAACATTATATAATATGGAATAGATCATTTGTTCAAACTGTGACTATGACCTAATGTGCTTGCAAATGAGGAACCTGAATATTAAATAATGATTAACAAGTCATTAATTCATATTCTTTTCAGCTTAGTCCCTTTATTTATTAGGGGTTGCCACAGTAGAATGAACCGTCAACTAATCCAGCATTTGTTCTATACAGCGGATGCCCTTACATCTGCAACCCATCACTGGGAAACACTCATACACTCTCATTTACACTCATACAGACATTTTACCTTACCAGATTCACCTGTACCACATGTCTTTGGACTGTGTGGGAAACCGGAGCACCCGGAGGAAAGCCACGCGCAGAGAGGGAGAACATGCAAACTCCAAACAGAAATGTTAACTGACCCAGCCGGAGCTCCAACCAGCGACCTTCTTGCTGTGAGGTGACAGTGCTACCCACTGATAATCCAACTCGCTCTTCAAGATCTCAAAACTCAGGGCTTCTAGTAGTAGCTAGAATAGCAAAGTCGGGTAAAGGAGGTTGAGCCTTCTCCTTTGTGGCTCCTAAACTCTGGAATAGCATTCCTGAGAACTTCCAAGCCTCAGATACACTCTCCCAATTCAAAACTAGTTTAAAGACCTATCTGTTTAGTAAAGCATCACTTAGCGGGTTTTCACACAGGTTTCGACATCTTGTTTATATACAGCTACGCTAATTATTCTCTTTATTCTCCATTTCCACCTGGGGATACTTTTCCTGAGGCCCTCAGACTATGCAGAGTCACTGATTCGATCCAAGACCAGCGACGAGATGATCCCAATGTTTCCATATCCTGGACCAGGCAGTATCCTGAGCAGCTGCTACGGTGGTCATAGTGGAGTGGAGAGCATGAGACTGATTCCTGTCAAGCTCCAGGGTCAGACGAGTCTTCGCTGAGGCCAGCTTCCAGCCTCCGCCACTGAGACTGCAGCTCTGCACAAGACATTAGGCCAGCGGAGAAATTAAAATGGTCGTGCCCAACTGAGTCTGGTTTCTCTCAAGGTTTTTTTCCTCACTTTTGCCAATCGGTAAAGTTTTTTTTCCCCTCTCCGCTGTCGCCTCTTGCTTGCATGGTTTGGGATCAGTAGAGCTACGCATCAATGAAGTTGCCCTTCAGTGTTTGGACTCTCAGTAGTTATTTTAAACCACACTGAACTGAGCTAAACTGAACTGAACTTAAACACTAAAAAAAAAAAAACTGAACTACACTGTTTCAATTTACTATGACCATTTATGCAAAGCTGCTTTGAGACAATCTACATTGTAAAAGCACTATACAAATAAAGGTAAATTGAATTGAATTAAATGTTTATAGAAATTTAATTATTCATTTAATTGAAGGGAAATTGACTTTTAGAATGAACAATTATGATGATTCATAATAAGTGTGCAAACAAATGAAAATAGCCCACATGTAGCATATAGCCTAGAATATTACTTGAGTAAAATAACATGAATGGTTGAACGAATAAGTTAACAAACCCAAACCAACTTAGGCTCATTATTGAAAAAAAGCACCCCTGTATACATTTCTGGAGATCACAAAATACATCCCAGGAGGTAAAATCTTTTGAAGTTATTGGTTTCACGAAAAAAAGTGGCCTTCGTATCTCAAATTTGTCTCGCAAGTGCCATTCGTGTCTGATGTTCCCACGTGATTCCACAAGAGGCCACTATCGACTGACTGACTGACTGACCGACTGGCCGATTACCCCTCCCACCCTCCTCACTAAACCCAACTGATAGTGTTTTCAAAAGCACAGATCAACCTGCCCACTGCCTTCCCTAAACCCAACCGACAGTGTTTTCAAATGCAATTCAGGAAAAGAAAAGCCCTCACTTGATTTTTACCTCATTTTCAGATCCTACCATGTCCTCACAAAGTTATTTACTTGTTTATTAATTTTTTGCCTTTTTTGTTTTACATGCTTTCTGGAACTGTTCTTTACCGAACTTGAACACCATCATCGCGGTCAATTCCTCTTTGCGTTTTAAGTCTGTTGACACACATGGTGAGCTACTGGGCAAACTGGTAACAGCAGAAAAGCCATCCATATGGAGGTAAGCGATCAGCTGATAGCACAAAATTAAATAAAAGCTGGTGACAGCACCATAGCATTCATTTAGAAGTGCCCCGTAGCATTCGTTTGAAAGATGAAATGCAGCCATATATAGCTCTGGCTACATAGTTAGCGCTCTCCAGAAATGTAGGGGCGCATTTTCACAATGAGCCTGTGTTGCAACAAACCATTAATTTAAAGTTGTGTAATTACCTGCCAGTGGCTTTGCAGTTGTTTGTGTTCTGACTAATAAAAGAAGGAAGATAGTTAAATTCAGAAAGACACATGCGTATTTTTTGGCTTGTGACATAAAGACTAATAAAATCCTTTGAATGTATTACCAAGTGCTA